GAAGGTTGATGTCTAACTTCAAAAAATGAATGAGGAGGAGGGTATGCGTTTAAGGGTTAATGTTTCCACAGTGTAATTATACACTTAAGTACTGAGTAATAGTAATTAACTACATGTAGGCAACTTATTTTAGGGTTAGGCTAGGATTATGGTTTGGTTTAGGGTTAATTGTGCCTGATTTATAGTTATCTCTACAGTTATAACAAGTATATAACGTGTAACAAGGACACATTAAAATGAAGTGTTACTCAAAATTGTGTCGTTTTGTTTATTTGTGCACTAAACACATTCATAAATGAGTTCCACTGTGCTTGAAAGAATCTTTAATCATACAACGGTAGTTATTGTGTCCATAAATACACCAGCTTGACCCTGTAATTAACCTCACCATGTGCTCTGTCTTAGCATAATCATGTGTCCAGCTGTGAAGGGCGTTTAACATTCATGTTTTCTCTGAAACAAATAGTCCAAAGCCTTTCGATGTCAAGGCAATATGTTTCAATAGTATTGTGGGCCCATGCCAAGCCAGTTCCTCCGGGTAAGACAACGTTCACAATGGATCATCTCTCTTTTTAATACTGTTAAAATATAAATTAAGGTCCATTGTGCCAAACACCACTATCAGCCGATGCTCAGGTAACCAAGGTGATAATTGTGGCTCATGTTTTCTGAATATTCTTGTAATGCTGAATATATTCTGACATGCTTTCCTCATGCTCACAGAATCTAAAGTAAGACCAGCCTCAGGGATTAAACACCCTGTGTGATTGAAGGTAAGGTTTTAACCAATCAGAAATGGTTGGAAAATTCCATTTCTGTATCCAGATATTCCCTTCAGAGAAATGGCAACTCCTACGGCAGACCCCAAAACTGGAATATCACAACTGAACAGGCCCAGTCAAATAATCTCTATCACCACAGCACTGACAGGGCCATATTCTGTGCCACGGACAGCCGTGGGTATCCAGCCTCTCTCTCCAACCAATCTAGGAGGGTGAATGAAAGGGGCAACAGTCACTAATTATGAGCACAGACCAATTTTTAAAAGGACATGAGACAGAACTGTGGGAGAGCCTGGGGTGTGAGACCACACGGCTCAAGATTTTTGTTGGAGAAAATTGAAGAAGTCATGGCCTAGGGGTTTCCTCAATTTCAAGTCAAATTGTTGAGTTCTCTTTCACTCCCAGAACTTATGAACCTACCCTAGTTATAAATTGATTTGGAATGCTTACCAACACCATAAATGATATATAATTTATAAAGGCCACATGAAGAACTGGACTTTTGGCAGATGACACAGATGTTGCATTGAAGGATTTATGAAATGGTCAAAAGTTCACACAAATAGTCTTTGTCAATACTACTACATATAAACTACGTCGAGATTTTTTAAAATTATTATTTATTCTAAAGACATTAATAGTTTTATTCAGCAATGATGAATTAAATTGACCAAAGTGACAGTAAAAGACATTTATAATGTTACAAAAATAATAATTTAAAATAAACGCTGTTCATTTGAATTTTCCATTCATTAAAGGGTCACTTCACCCATTTGCATTAAGGTTTGTATTGTTAGAAACCCTGTCATATATTATAATGATGGTGGAATTTTGCTTGTTTTTTTTCTGAGATGGGAGAAAAAAGGATTTAAGTGTTTTACTTCCGTCCCATCGTGACGTAAATATCGTCATTTTGCGTCACGATAGGACGGAAGATAAATTTCATTGCATATTAAGAAAACTACAGCCTTTAGCTCATTATTATTCAAGGGCGTGGGACCCACTCACCCCACCGGCCTATTACAGATCAGTGGGTGGGACTAAACCTGAAGAAACCAAACTATTAATCCGCCATCTTGCTTGGAAGACAGCAAGCTAAGCTAACAAGCGCTCAAGCAGTTAGATTTACCATAATGCCTGAATTTACGACACACGATATGGAAGACGAGGATTTTGAAAATCTTTTGCTCGAAACTGATGTTCGTGGCTATTTATACGAGCCACAATATAGCGAAGAGCAGCTGAGGCTGATGGAGGAACAAGAGGCGGCGGCGTCGGCTGCGGCAGCGGCCGCCGCAGGAGACCAGCCCGGCGCAGACGAGAAGCCCGGGCTTGCTCGCGCTGTAGCGAATTGGTGGTGCTCGTGCTGTAACTGTGCGCCTATGGACACTGAGCTAGAGTCTGTCTGCTGCAAAGAATCTCTAAAATGCCAATTCCTTCTAGAAGAAATGTCAGAGGCAGACACGGACATGGAGTTTTGTGCACACGGACGTTTGTGTTGTGATGTGAACCATCCTAGTGTCGCACCCCATATGTTCTGACTGGAACATCCAGGTATCATGCAATAATTCACCATATAGAAAGAAATACAAACGAGGAGTAGCTGCTAATTCGCTAATGAGTTTGCCAATGTAACGGGGTTCGTTGTTGTGGGAAGAATGAGACGGGAATCGGCGAACATTTAAACATTTTAATAGTAAAATAAACAAATACAAAACAAAAGTATAAGCCAGCAGCCCCTCAATGCTGGCCACACACAACAGAAACAAAACACACCATAAAATCAGGCCTGTTCCTCTCTCGATCTGCCCTGTCGCTCCTCGTTTTATGCGTCCGCTCCTCGGTGAGAGACGCGAGACCAGTGCGTCTCACAGGTGTCGTTCATTATCACTCACGCCACCGGCCTCGCGCCGCTCTCACGTCCCTTGTCCTGCTCGCCACAGCCAACTAACTATACATTTTGTGTGAAATGAATTTATAACTCTGTTGGCAGCTAACGTTAGCCCTGTAGAGTAGACGAAAGAGTGATTTCTCTGATGTTTGCGACTTTGCGCTGTTCTGGATTAGTGGGAGTGGCTTGCGGAGTTGTGCAACGTGGTGCATTCTGGGAGTTGTGGTCTTACACACAAATGCGCCCTAAAGTTATTTTCTGTCTTTTCTCGGTCAAGAGGGCACCAAATTCAAAATTTATTTTACATTTCGACTACATATATGACCCACTTTCAATAAAGATTAATGTTGAAATGGGTGAAGTGCTCCTTTAAAGATTCCTGAAAAAAGTCACGGTTGTATCACAGTAATCACAAAAATATTAACCAGCATAACAGTTTGCAACATTGATAATAATCAGAAATGTTTCTTGAGCAGCAAATCAGCATATTAGAATGATTTCTGAAGGATCATGTGACACTGAAGACTGGAGTAATGATTCAGAAAATTCAGCCATACCGTCACAGGCATAAATTACATTTGAAAATACTGTATATTCAAATAGAAAAATTATTTTAAATTGTAACTATTTCACAATATTAATATATTACTGTATTTTTGGTCAAATAAATGCAGCTTTAGTGAGCATAAGAGACGTTTCAAAAACATTAAAAATCTTACAGACTTTAAACTTTTGAAAGGCAGTGTACTTTTAACTGAAACTTTAATGCAGATATTCTGAGTTGTGAAGAAGAAACCTTTTTAGCAAGTAGGCTACTGAAGTATCATCCGTGGATCACAGAAAGTGACATTTACAGTGGACATTTATTTATAATACACTTAAAATACATATGCTTGCTTACTGTTTTTGCTTACAGGATAATCCAGCCTGAGGTTATGGTGCATGGGGTTATGGTTCATGGATTATACTTTGTGGTAATCGAATCTGTAACCTTTCAGTCACCAGCCCTGAGCCATTACTCCATTTCACACTTCCAGGGCTCTTCAACCAGATTCCAAAACTCAGGCTGGGGTGTCAAATCCACTTATTATATCATTTTTGTTTCGCACACAGCGTTTAGTGACATTCACAAGAGTTTGAGTTGATCCACTCCTGACGAGACGCCCAGTTGTGGGCAAAAAAAAAAACTTTGGATAACCTCGATTTCCCTCTATATGGCTGTTGAAACATACCCCCTGGCGATGTAAGAAAAATATGACGACTTGTGCTTCAAAGTCATCACAGAGAATTGATTGATGAGAAAAAAAAGAAAGAAAAGCTCTTTGACTCCAAGGCCCCCCATTGACCAAGGCAATATTGGAAGGCTCCCCATAGACTTTATGGTTCCTCTGGTACTTCTACTGTAATGATGACAAATGTGCTTTTTTCATCCTTTTTATGAACAGAAACTAAGAGTGACAATAGATTCAATAATAAAACCAATATTTCAGTTGTTTACATCGATATTTTAGCTGGGTTTTTCTTCAATTAAATTATTCAAATATTAATAATTATACTATTTTAAAATAATTAATATATTGATATTTTCCCCTTTGAATTATTTTAATGTGTTGCCCTGTCCCAACCAAAAACTGGCATATTATTTATTTAATCTTTTATAACTGATTGAAGCTTTATGCACTTTTCAGATATCTGACTATTATGCATTCTAATTAGGTCTTAAAAAGCCCCATGGGGTCCCCAAACAGATCATGAGGGTAAAATGGGTTTTAAACCAGGTAAATCATGTCACCGTTAATAGATTAAAACAGTTGTCACAATGTTCTAATCATCCCAGATCATCTGAGGGCGAGCTGTGCGTGTTTGCGCGTCCTGACGCACTGTGCTGTGCTGCGCACGCCGCCACCAGATCCGCTCAGAAAGCAAACGCACCCGGTCTGGACTGCCAGGACTTTCAGCTGAGCAGAAGCACAGTCGCATCTCTTCATCAACGAGGATTTTCTACATAACATACACAAGTTCTACAAGCATGCTTAAGAAATAGAGGATTATATCGTGATGAGGAATGGTTTTGAGATTCTTTAAGAGGCACCACTGCGGGAGGCTGGAGAATCATCGGCTTGACAGTGAACAGATTTCCCCGAGATTCCCACGGAGCTCTTGAGAGCGAAATGAACAACCCGCCGCTGTGATCGTGCACATGGAGAGTGCGAGCCAAGGCGCGTGAACGCACACACAGTGCTTTGGACACTTTGGACACATTTCTTACTGGATATTCTTAGAAACCTTTATCTGCAGATATAATTCCATTTTTAATTTAGTTTGCATTAATTATTTTCAGCGAAACACTAACAGACACATGAAATGTTGAACTAAGCGGTTTTTGAAACATCTCATAGGTGAGTCCGCATGCATTTTTGGTCAATAAAAACGCTACAATAACTTTTCCGTTTAAGTTTCACAGAAAAGCGTTCTTGATAATGTCTTGCATCCACCTGTTTAAGTCAATGCATGCATGTGCTGCAGCATTGAGAGGCGCCTATATTTATTATGTTTCAGAGGGCTTTTTAAAATTATTATTATTTTAATCAGATTCGGAATTTCATGACCGTAACTTAATGAGATAGGCAGGCTATATTGTATTTGATTATCTATGGTGAAAATAGGCTAATATAACAGAGGTGCTGTGGTGATATTCGAGTTCTGGTTATGCAGTTAAAATAATTTACGCATTTGTAATTAGCCTATTATTGTTTTTGTAATTTGTGCTAAAATGTGCATCAACTTTCAGGGACTTTTGGACAGTGCAGTATAGCAAAACATAATTTTCTTGCGCAATATGGTTTATTTTAGTGAAAGAGCCAGAATAACTTTTCCATCTAAGTTACACAGAAAAGCTCTCTTGATGATGTCTTGCATCCACCTGTGCACGCGGATGCATGCTGCAGAATTTGGGAGGGGAGCCTGTTTATTATGTTTCAGTGGGCTTTCTTTTTCTTCCAGATTCGGATTCTCTTATTATCTGAACTAAATTAAATTTTTTTATATGTTTACAGCAGATGTCAAAAAAAAAAATGGATTCACAATAATTGAATGTGTGGTGAAATAGAGATATAACTTTGAGAGACTTTTGGACAGTGCTCCCATATGACGAAACATTTATCGTTGCTATTTTTGTCAATCGGAGACGCTGGGGTGCTGATAAATGTGCGATATCTATCTGTATGTGTGTGTGTTTTTTTGTTTTTTGTTTTTTTGCAGTGTCCACTGCACTGAAAGCTTCCTTAGTCTCCATCCATCCTTCTTCCGAGTTGTAGGATGCAGCAGGAATGATCCCGGTCCAGCGCGTTAAAGCTCAGCCTCAGCTGTGGCACGTGAGCGCGGAAGCTCCTCCATGGCTCTGGATGGTCCCGAACACCTCCAGACTGTGTAGGGTGGGTTCTGCTCCTCCAGTACTCATCTCCTCCCGCCCTCCTCCGGTGATTCAGGCAGTCTCAGGATGGCAGATGTCCTGCGATCCGTTTGTGCCTGTGATGCGCGCTCCCGCCGCGGAACCCGCGACCATCAGTCAGTTCAGTCTGCCCAGTGTTCAGGTAACAGGGTATTAGATGCAAATAACAAAGACCCACTTCATGAGCGATCTCTATGTTCAGTCCCCCAGGTTTTGGGAGACAATCGTTACTTTTCCAAGACCCATGCCTTCTATTATATGGAATGAAACATTTGTGTTCAGTTTGTCAAATCAAGTGGCTTCTCTTGGCGTCTTTTTAATATGACTTTGCACATGCAACATTTTTCATTTTTTGACTTGTTTTATAATGTCTTTAAATGCTTTATAATTTCCCCAATGATAAAATGATTATATGCCATTAATTCATGTTCTAGCTGCAAATGTACTGAAAAGTAATTCAATTCTTACTGGAATTTTTATTTGCAATAGTGCAAATATTGCATGATCTCTCATAAAAGGCTAATCACCTTGATGCACTAACCCTGTGCCTTGACAAGTGCCATTTTCTTTTCTGCATTGACATATTACTGTACCTATTGAAACAGGAAGCTGGGAAGGGAATGTGAAGGGCTCATGATTTTTTAAATAGTCAGAAGCCTTTAGTTTGCATCACACAGTGAATTACGATGTACTACTTGCTTTTGTGATGTCAGGGAGATTAACATTCTAGGGAGAATTAAACTGTAAACAGCCCTGTGAAAAAGATGAACCATAAATATTTGTTAAATATTACATGAGTATAGTTTGTGAACTAGTAGGAAAACACTAGCATTTAGATGATCTCAAAAGGAAACAGACTAAAATCTAAAATACTAAAATATATTATTTATTTTTTTATTATTATTTTGTTTATTTTAATGGTTCTCCTTTTGGCCAAAAGTCAGAGGTCATTACCACAAATTATAGCGTGAATGTGGTGGAATAATATTGCCTATTTAATCTATTTACTTTTTCTTTGTCAAAACAGATTAGACATTGATCTTACGGTCATTTGTGTATGACTGACTGTGCAGTAAATGTAAAAAATATATTGTAAATCAGAGAACAAATTGAGTTTTAAAGGATTGGTACAAAAAGAAAAGGCAAATACATTATGCACATGCATAATTATGAAGCTAAAGCAGCGTATGTGTTTTTATTTTTAATTAATTAATTAATTAAAAAAAATGTTTTTTTTTTGCATTATTACAAGCGAGTGTCTAGCTAATTCCTTTACTGCAGTTTTGTATCTTGGGTTGTTTTACTCTTGATCTAGGCATTTTGACTTGCTGTGATAATGAAAATCAAGATGCCTTTCCAATAAAGGTCTTGATTAAATCTTGAAACAGATTTCTTGAACGGTTATGGTCAACTCGCAGCTGCTTGAATATGCCTAATACTATGGACAGGCGGAATTGAGATCTGCAGGACATGATTTGATGTTGATAACGTTTTATCAGCATCCCTTTTGGTGAACTGTTAAAGCTGAAAATCAAAATTCTGTGCATCATCTCCCTTCAGTTCCTCTGTATTACCACTAGAGGCGCTGTGTTCAGGATGACCCTCACATCCGCAGCTGAATCCCCCTCACGACTCAAACTCGGCTTGACATTTAATCTGTGTGCCGGGCTGAGGCATGATCACCACTACTTCACATCCCCAGGGTTAAGAACTTTGTGCTTTCTCATCATTAAAGAGCCGATCAGAGGAGGCGGCAAACATTACCTCAATAGCACTGCACTGAAACCAGAGATAAAGAGAGAGACAGAGACAGTGGGAGCCAAGAGTATATTATTTAAACAGAGACTTTGAGTTGCAGACACCCTTCAGAAGTCTTTGATTGACTGCTACTACAGAAAGGCATTGACGCAGAGCCGAGCATAATAGAATGGGATGTTATCCTGAATGCAGAAGATACAGATGCAGCATAATCTGCAGGGAATTCAACATGAAGTGATGTCCACAACCAAGCTTCTTTTTGTAATGTGATGTGATTTGAAGTACAATGACCATTTGGACTCCATCAGAGTTTATTGGATCATGAAATATCTATATGAAAGGTGGTTTTGACAAATAATCAGAAACGGGCGTTAAAAAG